CGCTGGCACCTACCTGTGTCGGGGAAGAAGCTGTTGGCCAATTGCTGCTGTTGCTGCTGCATGACGAGCTGCTGGGGTTTCATGCCCAGGGGGGTCGGCTGCACCCCAGGTATCTGCTTCTGCACCAGCACCTGCTGCTGGTTCGGCTGTGGGGTCAGCGCTGGCTGGACGCCGTGCTGGGCCGCAAGGACGTGGGGCTGGGGCTGCGCCATCGCCATGTGTGGGGCCAGCACCTGGCCCTGCTGGGGTCCCACCACCCGCTGCTGCTGCGTCATTAGCTGTTGGGTGGGCACCAGGTTCTGCTGCCTGGCGATGAGGCCCAGCTGCAGCTGTTGCTGGGGCCCCACCAGGCGGGGAGCCTGCCCGTCCGGGGGCTGGGCCGGCCCTGCAGGGTGAGCCAGTATGGAGTGCTGCTGCTGCTGCACAGGCTGGAGGTGCTGGGCCCCCCCCGGCAGGTGGGCCGACATCTGCTGCTTCTTCTGCAGCTCCTTCTTCTCGTGCTCCAGCAGGTCCTCGATGAGCAGGGGCAGCTCGCTGGCCACCAGGGAGCTCTCCATCTTCTCCAGGTCGTCAGCCTGCGAGTGCTGGGCGTTGGCCAGGCCCAAGGCCCCTCCCTCCAGCTCCAGCAGGGCAGGGCTCTGGCCGGGTGCCAGCCCGCGGCCCGGGGCGGCGTAGGGGCCCTTGTCTGAGCCAGAGGTGGCAGCTTGGCCGTTGTTAGGGAAGGGGGCTGTGCCGAGCCGCACGGGCCCCGCTCCGGCACTCAGCAGGTTCTGGCCAGGCTTGAGGGTCAGGCCTAGGGAGGCAGCCATTTTCTCGGCCCCCTGGAGGGCCTCTGACTTGATGGGGACCGGGAGGCGGTCAGAGGCGCCAGTGTTGAACTGACAGGGGGATGTCTTCAGGCAGCCTTCCTCCAGCTTGGGCTGGACGCTGGACGGCAGGGAGGCCGGCTTGGCTTCCAGGATGCTGGCCTGGGCCTTGAAGGTTGGGTGGGGAGCCGGTGCCGTGCTGGAGGGGCAGGGGGCGGGCGGCAGCCCCTCCCTGGGGGGTGCCAGCTCCTTGGGCTCCCCGGGGCCCTTGGGGCAGGGCCCAGCTGGCTCCCTCTTGAGCAGGGCCTCGCGCTCGGCCTTCTCGTTGGCCGACTCCACCAGGCGCAGGTGCTCGTTGAAGATGTCCTTCTTGTCGCCTGTGTCCAGCTCGGGGTCGGTGTAGGCCAGCAGGTCGAACTCATCGCCGTTCAGCAGGTCGTCCAGGTGGGGGTCGTTGGTCTCCAGGTTGTCCAGGTTGCCCAGGTCGTCGTCCCCCTTGGCCACGTCCGGGTCCAGGCTCAGATTGGCCAGGTCGTCATCCTCCAGGTCCTTGTGGGAGTCGAAGTCGTCGTCCAGGTCAGGCTCCACCGGCACCTCGCACGGGAGCCGCCCACCCTCCAGCGCCAGGTGGCTCTTGCTGGGAGCTGGAGCCGGGACCGGAGCCAGCCGGGGCTCCATGGCGGGGCCGTCCTTGGGGCCGTCAGGACGCAGGCCAGAGCCGGAGGATGACGACAGAGGGCGGGGTGGGCCATGCTGCAGTTCCAGGCCGCTGGGAGGCGGGGGCACCGGAGGGCCGCTTTTGGGGGGAGGCTGGTGGCTCCGCTCAGCCCCCTGCGGGGAAGTAGCGGAGGGCGGCAGAGGGGCCGGCAGCTTCTGGGGCTGCAGGACTGGGGCTGGCAGAGGCATGACGGAGGCACGCAGGGCCTGGCTGGAGCTCTCGTCGCCGGGCAGGAAGAAGCGTGGTCTGGCCGGGGGGCCCTGCTGGGCAAAGGGGGAGCCCATGCCCCCGGCTGCCCCCTTCTGGGCATTGTGCCGCAGCTCAATGAATTGGGCCCCCACGGCGCCGGGCGAGGACGGGATCTGCTCGGCAGGGCCCGCCATGCGCCCAGCCAGGCCTCCCAGCGCCGGCCGGCTGAGCTCATGGCCAGGTGGCTGCTGGAAGCGGGCGGGGCCGGGGAGCCGCACAGCCGCCGCCTGCTGCTGCTGCCACATCTGCTGCTGCTGTGGTGAGGGCCCCTGGAACATGCCGCGTGGGAAGAAGGTCTGGGGGGCTCCCACCGACGGCCTGCAACAGACAGGGAGGGTCAGGGAGTGGCCCCTGCCTCGGGCGTCCCGGGAGGTGCAGCTCCTGGCCAGCACAGGGTGCCAGTGCCACCATCCGCCGAGGGCAGAGCCATAGCCAAGGAGCTCGCTCGCTCCCCGCCCCCCCCAGGGGAAGGTCAGCAGCAGCTGGGGGTTCTGGAAGGGGACACGGGCTGGCCACGCCCCAGCATGGCGTCGCCCCACTGAGGGGCTCCTGTTGGACAGGCTCAATCCCCACCGGACCTGCCGACAGCTTCCCCCGCCCACATCTGATGTCAGGGGATGGGGGCTCAGGGGCAGCACCCTGCCAACCGGGACCTCCCAGCCCCCCACCCTCACAGTGGGGGAGCGAGAGGGGAGTGAGGCTCGGTGACTAGCTGAGCCGGGGGGTGGGGGTGGGAGGCTGGGAGCAAGGACTCCTGGGTTCTATTCCCAGCTCTGTCACAAACTTGCTGAGTAACAGTGGGCCTCAGTTTCCCCATGTGTAGCTGAAGGCGGGGTCTGATGGGTAAGTGAAGTGCCCTGTGAGTGCAGCAAGCCCAGAGCACCGCTCGCCTCCAGCAGCCTGGGGGGACACGCACCTGCCGTTGAGGTCCATGGCGGAGGGCGTGGCGGCGGGAGGCGGGCGGGAAAGCCGTTCGTCCGGTGCGAAGGCCGCGGGCACCATGGCTGGCCCGGAGAGTTTGCTGCTGCCGGGGGCTGTGGGCAGATTCCCGAGGGCGCTCTTGTCCTGGGAAGGAAGGAAGGGAGAGTGACTCCGCCTGTGCCCAGACTCCTGCAGACCACATCCTCACCTGCACCCTGCGCCCTCCCCCTCCAGCTGTGGGGGATCCGGACTCTCCTCCTAACCCCAGCCTGGGCTCAACCTCCTCTGCAGCAGGTGACGGGGAGCTCTAACTACTGCGCCTCGCTGCCCTTGTTTGGGACTAGCCCCAGCCTCACCCCCATCCAAATCTCCCACGCGCTTTATCTGGTGACACCCTGCAGCAGGAGCTCCCCGGGTCTGTGCCCCCAGGCCCCGGCCCTCTGTCCCATTCACAGAGGGACCCTCGCGGGAGGGCGGGACTTGTCTCAGCGCTGTTCGTCAAGGGCTGCGATGACCAATGTGCAGAGCCAGCTCCGACTGCCCTTGGGGGCCAGGCCAGCAGCCCTGGGGCCAGTACCATGCGGCCCATACGGCTACGGAGGTGTTTGTGTGGCCCAGCCCCACCTGTGCTGGCTGGTAGGGTGCCAGGCCCCTGAGCTGCTCGAAGGCCTGGCTGCTGGCTTCGGCGCTCCACGCTGCCTGGGAGGAGCTGGTGGCGGCGGCCGCGCTCTCCTTCTCCTGCCGCAGGTTGTTCCTCTGGATTTGCTGGCGGATGAGGAGCTCGCGGAGTCTCTGGCGCTGGGAGATAAGGGATGCACCATTACAGCAGGGCCCAGACTGCACCCTGGGAAATCACCGTCCTACCCCGAGCATCTGGGGGATGGCGCAGGGACAGGGCACCCATGGCAGCTTGGAGACTCTCTGCCTAAGTTGACTAAACTGACACAGGTGGGAGGGGAAACTGAGGCACAGAGAGGGCGAAAGCCTGGCCCAAGTCATCCAGCAGGTCAACGGCAGAGCCGGGAACAGAACCCAGGTATCCCAAGCCCCAGGCCATGCAAGTAAAGGGGACTAGAGGGCAAAGAGCCATTTCCCTGGCTCCAGCTCTCCTTTGTATCCTCTAGGCGATGTCAGGGGGTCCCTTGGCTCAGCCCCCACCAGCACTCCCGCGTTCTGTGCCTGGCTCTGGGAGGGCAGTGGGGTGCAGTGGTTAGAGCAGTCCCAGCTCTACCTCTGATTCACTGTGCCCGAGACAGCACCCCCAAGGGCTGTGGAGAAAGCGGAGTGCTCACCTGCCTCTGCTTCTCCAGCTCCGACTGGCTGATGCTGCTGACGGCGCCCTCCTGGCTGACTGGCAGTTCGGGCAGCTCCCGGCTGGGGAGAGCAGAGATCCCCGACACCACCTCGTCCCGCTTGTCAGCTGGCGGCGCCATCCCGGCTCGGGGAAGGTAGGTCAGGGAGCCGTCCTGCTGCTGCTGGGGGTGGGGGGGTTGCTGCGGCAGCACCGAGGGGGGCCGCAGGGGAGAGAGGCTGTAGGTCTCAGCAGGGCAGTTGCCAGGCCCCAGGGGGCTACCGGCCTGGTGGAAGCCGGGTGAAGAGGCATAGTTGGCGCTTTGGGGCTTGCCCATGGGCTGGCTAGAGGCAAAATGGCTGTTCATCCCGTGGGGTTGGTGGGAGGGGGAACCCTTGAGGGGCTCCGAGACAGCTGAGGGGAAGGTGAACCGCATCTGGGCCTGGGCGCCAGGGAAGACGCTGGCTCCAGGGGAGCGGGCGAAGGGGGGCTGCTGGCTCCCCGGCCCCTTGGAGTGGGGGTCACTGGGCTGGGCCGGAGGGAAGCCACTGCCAGCTGGGGGATTGTGGGAGATTGGGATCGATTTGAAGCCGGAGTCAGGTATTTGGGGCCGTGGGGGCTTGTGCAGGGGGGCAAAGGGGTCCCGGGACTGGGGGCGTGAGGGGGGTCTGGAGTAGGGGTCGGGTGACTGGAAGCGAGGGGTGACGGGTGACTGGCAGCAAGCCTCATTGGAGAGCGGCCGGGGGGTAAGAGGGGACTGGGAGCTAGACTGGGACTGCGGGCTGGCAGGGACGCGGGAGAAGGGGTCAGAAGGCAAGGACCTGGGGGGCAGGGCACAGCAGCTGTCGGGGGGCTGTGGCCGGGGCGTCAGGGGGGGCTGGGCATAGGGGTCCGAGTAGCAGGACACGGAGGGCGACTGCCTGTAGAGGTCGGGGTGGCTGGGAGGTGAGGGGGCCAGAGCCTGGGGGTGGGGATGTGCCAGCCCTGGGCTCTGTGGCTCTACCTGAGAGACCCGTGGGGTCAGGGGGGCTTTGAACACGTCGGCTGCCTTCAGCTCGGCGGAGGAGAGGTGGGACGGGGAGTCGGCGTAGCCCATGGCGGCCATGTAGCCAGGGGAACACACTCCCGGGCCCCCTTCCTCCTTCTTCACCTGCAGCCCCCCAGCCTCCAGGCTCCTCTTCTGCTCCCCGAAGGGAGGGGGCGAGAGCAGGGGCTCGGGGGGCCTGGCCCCGGGGCTCCCCGGCACCGACAGGTTGTCCAGAGAGCCACTGAGGCAGCGTGGTTTCAGGAAGGGGTCTGGGGTGGAGGGCTGGTGCCGGGGAGTCCCGGGGGAGGTGGGGTGGAACTCCGGAGGCTGGGGGCCCAGGGCCGGCCGGGGAGTGGGCAGAAGCTGCTGCTGTTGTGTGGGGAAGGGCTGGAAGGCAGCTCCGGCTGTGGGGCTCTGGCCCAGGGGCGAGGGGAAGCGGGGCTCCAGCGGGTAGCTGTAGGGGTCGTGCGAAGGCACTTGGGCTGGGGACTGGGAAGGAAGCTTGAGGAAGAGCTCGCTGGACTCAGCCGCTGCTTCGGCGCCAGCAGGGGACTTCAGGAACCCATCTGCGGAGCCGGGCAGGGCCACCGGGCTGTTGATGTAGACGGGCTGCCCCGCAGCACCAGGCAGCGCCCCCTGCTGGGGCGGGATCCTCAGGTGCAGTGAGGGTCTCTCAGGCTTGCGCAGCACCTCCCCTTTGGTCTGCTTGTTGATCTGGCTCTCGGCCTGCTGCAGAGACAGCGCGGGATGGGGGTCAGCGCCAGGGGAGCCCAAGATGGCATCGGGTCGCCCCCCCCCCCAAACACATCCCACCTTGGGCTGTGGAGGGGGGCTCGGGGCAGGGAAGGGAGGATCCGGCAGAGTCAGAGGAGGGGCCAGTTGCTCCAGGTCCTCCCTGGCCCAGTCTGGGTCCCCGAGAGGCCCAGCCGCTCTGCCAGGCAGGCCTCGGGAAGGAAGGCCAGAGAGGGGCCCCACAAGGCTATTGCCCGTGTCCTGAGCACGCTCCCCCGGCACGTACCTTCTGCACCTTGTTGATGCGATGAGCCGCCCGGTTATCTTTGGCCTTTTGCTGCACAAAAAACAAATCAATTCTCAGAGCGAGGCTGAGAGATCCCCCGCGAGCAGGTCGCGCTCGCCGGCCACAGCCCCCAGCGGGGAGCGAGTCCGCCCAGGAGACTCACCAAGTAGGGGGCTTTGTCCGGAGCTGGGACCTTTCTCCAGAGCTTCATGATCTGTTTGCAGCGGCTGGACCAGTCTGGGAGGGGGACAGAGACTGACGTTACGATCGCCCCCGAATCACCAGCTGGCGTCTCTGGAGCATCCGGCGTTTACGTCCCAAGCCCCAGCCGGGTCAGGGCAGGTGGGGGCCATCCCCCCAGCCTGGGCTCCCCAAGATGCATGACCAGGGGCTTCATGCAGCCAATGGAGGCTCACGCCACAGAGCTCTATGGGTAAAGAACTTCTGAGCCAACGCAGAAATTTCATGCCAAGAGGACTATGGGCAAAAACTTCTCCACCAATAGGAGAAAGTGCTCAGTGCCCTCATACCAGAGAGGACTATGGGTAAGGAACTTCTCCACCAATAGGAGAAAGTGCTCAGTGCCCTCATACCAGAGAGGACTATGGGTAAGAGCCAAGAGATCAAGACAAACTGGTTACTGAGCACCACTCCCTCCCCCAGGGGGCAGCCAGAGGGGCGAGAGCAGCTGCCTACCTGGGTAATCCTGCTTGAGGCTGGGGAAGTTCATGTTGGCATAGAGGACGGGCGAAATGGTGGACAGCTCGCCCAGCTCCTCGTCCTTCTCCCAGCGCTGTAGGCTCCGCTGGTTGTAGGAGAGCCCATCCCCCTCACCCTCCGTGGTCGGGGTGGTGGGCGTGGAGGGGGTGGTGGCAGCCGAGCTGCTGGCCCAGGGGCTCTCGGGCTCGCAGTGGTCTGGGCTGAAGAAGCCGCTTCTCTCCCTGCACCGGGGAAAAAGCACATGGCTTGAGTCACCAGGGCTGCAGGCAAAGCCCAGGGCACATGCCAGCTGGGACAGATTCCAGCCCCTGGATTGAAGTAGCAGCAGCCCCCAGCTCCTTAGGGAACCGCATTCACCCCATCTCCTGAAGGACCCCATGCCCTGCCCCTCCCATCCCTCCCAAGAGCACCAGCACTGCCCGCCTGGCACGCACCAACATACCTGTTATCGAGGAACGGGGACTGGCAGACTCCTGAGTAGGACTCTATGGGGACAGCGGAGGAGAGAGAGCCCAGAGAAACACTCCCTGTGAGGGAAGGAAAACCGTGTGGCAGAGAGCTGGCAGTGAGAGTCAGAGCCGGCCCCCCCAATCCCCAACACCCCCTCCCACCTGCCCCCATGGGGCTCCTAGAGCCAAGCCAGGTGAATGCCTAGCTCCTAAAGAGTCCTAACACCACTCTCCTCCAGCCCCAGGAATCACCCTATTTATTGCACATGGGGAAACTAAGGCACGAGAGGGGTGACCTGCCCACAGATCACATGGCACAGCTATGCAGGAAACAGAACCCAGGAGTCCGGTCCCCCAGTGCTGTCCTCCAGCCCCTAGATGGCGCTGCCTCTGCTCAAACCGGGCTCCACAGCCAAGGGCTGGAGATGGGATCCTACGCCCAGGTTTGCTCTCCTGTGTCCTGCCAGGAGTAACAGACAGCGCCCCCTGCTGGCCCTCCCTCTCGCAACCGGCCCCAGCGGGCAGCCCTTTCACACCAGGAGCTTTCGGAGGGGGGTTGTAATTTATCAGCCACCCTCGCCACGCAGGGGATAGACAGGTCACCTTGCAGGAAGGGCCTCTGGGAGAGCTGCGCTCGGTTGGGGTCTCGCCCTCCCATGCCGGCCTCCATCCCTGCCGCCACGCAGTTCAGCTGCTGCTCCCGCTCGGCAGAGCCCAGCACATCCTTGAAGAGCTGCTGGATGTCTTTGCTCTCCATCTTGGGCAATTCTGGGGGCGGAGGAAGATCACAGTGAGCACAGGGCTGGGGAGCTGCACAGCCTTACTCCCCATGTGCAGATCCACCCCGTCCCATTCTCACCACCTGCCGGGGCGAAACCGAGGTACAAGACTTCCCCCACACTGCACGTCAGGAGTCCTGACTCTTGGTCCCCCCTACTCTAACTACTAGACCCCACCCCCTCCGAGAGCCCTTTTGAAGCAGATCAAAAGGCACCTGGTGCAGGCTGAGAAAACAGTCTCACCACCATCCCCTGCTTGGTCGGCAGCTGTTCTGTGCGACAAGCTCCGGGGACTGGTCTCCTCGGACCACCAGGGGCTTCGGCAGAGGGGAGCAAAGGGATCTGACTTGCCCTCCAATCCCTAGGGATCCCTCACAGGACTGAACCACTAACCTGGGAAGCTGGCCTGGACAAGCCCCTTGCCTTGGGAATAGCCCGCGTCACCCTCTGGGGGAGCTGGCACCAGGCTGGCAAGACCCGTTTTGGGCTCCAGTACACGTTTGCTGGGGCCCCACCCCCTCCCATTTCACCCCAGTGACAGACATTTGGGAGGCCACCTCAGCTTGGGGCCCTGGTTCAACTGTCCCCTTTCCACCCTTCTCGCCAGCCCTGGCTGGCACCAGCATAGAACCAAGGGAGGTGTGAGGGGCGTCCGGCGGCCTGACCTTCTGTGGGGATCTTGTCAAGGTCGGAGCTCAGGGCACCCTCGCCGGGCGTCGCCGGCTTCTCGCTGTCCCCAGGATCCGGAGAACCTTTCGGCTCCTCTGCCCCTGGGAAACAAACACACACGCCACCACATCACCCCAGCTCAGCACCCGCAGCCAGGGGTGTGCCGCTGGATATCTTCCTGCCCCACACAGCCCCCCATACGATGGGGGCAGACATGCCATGGGGATGCCTGGGTCATGACCCCCACCCCGTCAGGGGTGGGCGTGCCAGGGTCGTGACCCCCACCCCATCAGGGGTGGGCGTGCCAGGGCCGTGACCCCCACCCCCACCCCGTCAGGGGCAGGGGTGCCTGGGCTGTGGATGACCCCCCCCCCCCAATAACTGGGAGCTCCCGCCTTCAGCACCCTCCTCCCCTGAAATGAATAAGAACTGAGGGTGATGTTCTAGGCTACATCTCTATGGTTCCGAAGGTGGGGGAAATCACTCTAGGACTCCAAACCATAGAGACTCCAGAGTCCTCCAGGACTGACCATAGACGCACCTTGCCTAGATAATAGCCCACAGCCATAGAGCTGTAGCTAGAGTGCTTGGCTGTGATGGATAGAGTGGCACAGCTCTATGGCCACGGGCTGGTTGGAGACTACACTCTAGGCAGGATCTCTATGGTCAGGGGAGTTGGTCAACAAGATGGGGAGCTCCAGGCTGGTTGAGGTTATACAAATGAGGTCATGCATATTCAGATATTCAAATAAGAGGGTCACTCTATTTGCATAACCTTTTCAACTCTCTGTACCAGCCTGCCATAGTGCTGAGTCCCATCCCCACAGGGAACACCCCCCAGCCACGGCCCGGACACCAGCCCCCCCCCCCACAGCCCCTGCTCCCCACCCGCGGGCCAGCCCGGTGGGAGGTGCTCACCTGGGTCCTCAGCCTTCGCTTCCGCCCCTTTCGGGTCCTCCTCTTGGGCCACCAGGGCGCTGCTGTCCATGCTGTCGTCCCCTGGGGGGGGGGTCACAGGAGGGGGAGGCTGAGCCAGCACACGGCCCCTCCCTCCCGTGACGCCAGCCCCTTGGCTCCTGGCACTACCCACCCCAAGGGATGGCGCTTCCTACACAACCCAGGTGACCATGCCCAGCCCCTCAGATCCCTCACCACCAAGCCAAGTCCCACCAGCCAGCCCTGCCCCCTGCCAGCCTCCACCCAGAAGCCAAGGACATCTCTGCAGCCCCCTTACCTTTCAGATGGGCAGGGGTCTCCTTCCCATCTCCAGGCACCCTCTGGAGTGTTCCGGGCACCCCAGGGTCCACCCTGGGTCTGGGAGCACCCTGGCCAAAGGGGGGGCAGGCAGCTCCATCCCCCACACCCCCTGCGGCCAGCAGGGCCTTCCGGCTCAGGTCCATGAGCGCCTTCCCGAAGAACGCTTCCTGCCGAAGGAGTGGGGAAGGGGATGGGAGGGAGCCAGGGGACATGTACCAGAGTTAACAGAGGAGCCAGACCCCTTCCCCACTCTCCCCTCCCCCTCCGCCCCCAGCAGCGGGAGCTGGCACGCCCCTGTCCTGCCGCAGCCGGGCTTACCTGGAGATAGGCAGGGAACATATCCTCCAACTTGCTCTTCTTCCTGCCTCGGCGTTTCTTCTTCTCGTCCCCCTCCGTGGCGCCCTGCTCCGCAGCGCCCTCCGCTGGGATCTCCGCCGGCGCCCCTGTGAACAGCAGCTGCCGTTACTTCCGCCCTCCTCAGGAGCCCGGAGACATGGGGCCCTCCTGGAACGAGCCAAGCCTTGGGCGGGGGCTTCCCCATCGCCTCCCCGCCCCCCTCCAGGAGATCCCCAGAACTAAAGGGGGGGGGGTGTTCTGTCCCAGCTATACCCCATGACACAGAGGTTAATGCCAGAGGGCCAGGCGCTGCTTGGGCGCACGCGACTCCTACCGTCCTCCGGGTGCCCCTCGGCGCTCAGCACCTCGCGACATGCCTCCACCAGTGCTGCCGAGCCCTTCTTCAGCCGCGTATGGGACTTCCGCTGCCGCACCATGAACCCGCCGATCCCTGGGGAGGGAAGAGGAGCGGTGGGTGGTTAAAGGGGGAGGCCTCAGCCCTGCTTGGCCGGGGTGGCTTCACTCCACAGAGGCCAGGGTACCCCCCGGCTCCCGCTCTGATGGGCTAGGTCCGGCGGGACGGCTCTGTCAGCCACCACGGACGAGGCTCGGAAGAGCCCAGCCGATTAGCCGTCCCCCGTCATGGATCAGTGCGGGAGCACTCACCGGGGCGGTAGGGCTTCCGCTTCCTCTTCTTGCACTCCTCCGAATCCTCCAGCCCCTTCCCCGAGTCCACGTCGGCCCCTCCGTCCCGGTCAGGGCTGGCGGCAGCTTCCAGCTTGATCTCACACTCCATGTGCTCCACGCCCACTGCGCGAGGGAGGGGACGAGACGTTAGAGCAGGACTCCCCCATGGCCCCCAGCGGCGGAGGGAAAGTCAACTGACGATCCAGACCCCCTGAGCCTCCCACCCCCTCCCAAACCTACACCCGGCCCCACACATCGCTAGCCAAGCTGCACCCCTTCTCCCCATGACATTGCCCCTGGAGGAGCCGGTTCAGCCCATCAGTGACAGAGGGGCCCCCCGGGTACCCCTCTCTCTGGTGCATCCTTCCCCGCACCAGCCGTGGGCCCCTGAAAGCCAGCAACCACCCAGCTGGGCCCAGCAACAGCTTCCCCCCCCCCCACCCCACGCACCCCCCTGCACCTCCCCCCACGCACATGCCCCCCAGGCCCCCCAGCGCTAGAGGCTCCCAGCTGCAGCCACCTCCTCTGGACAAAGCGTAGGGCCCACCCATCACAGCGCCAACGCCCTCAGCCACTGAGCAGAGACCTGCCGTCCCAGGCACTGCAAGAGCTCTCGGTTCGGTGGGTTCCTGGGTGCCGACCAGGCCTGGCAACGAACCCAGGCATCCTGGCCCCTCTCCGAGCACAGTCAGGGAGCAGCCCAAGCAGCAGGCCCCAGCACACCCGCGTACCGCGCCAGCCGGCGGTGGGGAGCGGGGGCCACGTGAGGGGAGCGCACCTTCACCCTTCAGCAGGTCGTCCCCGTCCAGATCCCCGTCCTTCTTCTCGTCCGTGCCCAGGGGGTCGCCCCCCTCCAGGCCCCCCTCCCCATTCAGGGTGCCCAGCCGGGTCTTGCGCTGCCTGCGCTTGTGCAGGGGGGACATGGACAGGTTGCGCAGCACGGCCATGCCCGTCTCCGTCAGCCAGACGCCTTCGAAGCGGAAATACTGGGGCTCTGCGGGGGCCAGACGACAGAGTTAGGAGCGCACTCTCTCCAGGCTGGCCTAGTCGCCGGGGTGCTGGACCAGGGGTCAGGACGCCTGGGTTCTATTCCCGGCTCTGCACTGACCCACTGGGAGACCTCAGGCCAGTCCCTGTGCCTCTCTGTGCCCTTCGTCTCGCCCGTTCAGACTGTGAGCTCTTCAAGGCAAGAGACTCCTTGTCCCCCTGCTCCATCTACTGGATTCCAAAACACTCCCACGAACCGGGAACGGAACCCAGGAGGCCTGGCTCCAGCCCTAACCGCTAGACCCC